ACATAAAATAGTACTATTATATTAGTATTAATATATTAATATTTTTATTAATATTAGTATTATATTACATATATCATCTAGTTGCCTTTTTGTTGGTTAATAAATTAGTAGTTAGTTTAAAAAAATGCATATTTTTTCACATTCACAAACAATATTTCCACATAATATAATGTATGTGTATATTTGTTTTTTAGTTGCATAATAAATTGTTAGTTAATAAATACATTATTTTTGAATGTGCCTATTTACTTAATTTCAATATAATAATTTCAATATAATTTTTATTTTTATATATGTCTTTTATATTATATATAAAACATAAACAGCTAAATAAATACATTTTTAAAACAATAAATATTTATTAATATCATCATTTCTAATTATACCTATAAATAATATGGAATTGTTTAATTGCATGCATAAATCTCCAAAGCACTTGTACGGAGTTACTGAGCCATGTTTGTTCAATACGAGTCAAATTGAGCGAGGACTCTATTCTTGTCGCAAAGGAAAATCAATAGGCAGAGTAACCTTGGACGTGTAATGCAATGAGGGCGCTCGGTCGCTAGAGCTCAGCCCCTGAAACACAACCGCAAAAAGCAGTTTTCCATTTTAGATTTCCTTGAGGAATAATCCTTGAAGATTTACTCACAGCAACACTTATTAGTTTTGATCCACTGAGAAAGAAATTGCCTTAACAGCCTTTTATCACAGTCGTAGTGAGCTCTCCGTAGATAAGGCTGCGTTATTAAGAGGAGAGCAGCAGACTTCAGAAAGCTGCAGTGCAGTCCGCAGCACTGGAACGTATGGATGCCTATGAAGTAAAACAGGTAATGATGATAAAGTTTAGAATAAGAAACACAGCCATAGTTATGAGAGATAAAGGTGCAACTGAAAGATATCCTCCTGGTTTCACAGATTTTTTTTTTCTTCTAAGGAACATTTATAAAAGACACTTAAATGTCCTAATTGAACGTCACAATTGTGAGATGTAAAGTTAAAATTAAAGAAATCTAGTGCAATTATATACTTTAAAGGACAGAAATAAATTGGCTGTTTTACTCTAACATGGAAACGCCTTGCATGAAAACAATTTAAAAAGACTCTATTTTAAAGTGTTTCTGTAAAATAATTTCTGTATAAACATTTTTATTTTATATATATATACACACACACATGCATACAGACAGACAGACATAATTACAGACAGACAGACAGACGGATAGATTAAATTCTGGCTAACTTCTGTTTTTGCAGTGTTTTTCAGATGTGACATGCTGACATTGTAATGACCTAGCAAACACAAGTGGTGATAATCATATTGTTTGTGAAGTATAGACACTGCTTTACCTGTATAAAGAGACCTGCACATTGTCTAGTCACTAAGAAAAAAGGAAATTGTAATGATTAACATGAATATGAAAACCGTTACCGCAGTGCTTTATGCATCCTATTTCAGGAAGATTCTATGAGTAAACACAGACAGACCGAGGCCTGGGGACATCTGGAACAAGTCCACCGACTGCTAAAACCAATCCCCTGCCTGTGGCATCTAAAGACGCAATGTGAAATTTAGTCCGATCTTGTTATGGTTTTCCCGTCTAGCTCTAAGGATTTCTTTCCCTTTCAAATTATTCATGTCTATCTAAGACTTGTGTAACTACAGCAGCCTCAGATTCTTCTCGCATGTTTTGAAGCATGCTGACGTCTGTACAGTCTAAACTCTAATCACTTTTACCCAGATCCGTTTTCTTGAAAGCAGTTCATTTTTTAGAGTGTATACTACTTGGATTGGATTTATTCAACTATAAAGGACAGGAATAAAATGGGGGGGGGATTCTCACTGAACCCTGATGAGAGAGCTCTAACAAAAGTAGAAAGTTAACTAACTAAAGTTAAAGTTAACTAAGTTAACTGCAACTATATAGTTGACCGTCTGAAGCACGCAGCGTAACTGTTTTAAAAAGTTACCAGAAACCAGAGCAACCTCTGAGCAATATCATTTTCCTCAGGTGTTATATATTTAGTATATAGTTAGAGTAGAAGGTAAAGTTTGAAGGTCAGTGCGGTCACTGAAGCGGTGTGACATCTAGACTGTAGATAGACCATTAAAACACAACCTTTGGCAATGTAACCTTTATGGCTCCTGTGGAGGTGAGAAAAACATGCGACCTGCCATTTCAAAAAACACTTTTCTTTGTCTGTGTGAATGTGGCTGAACTACACGACTCGAAAACGAAAAAAATCATGCTTTTCAAATCTTTCATTAGTCTATTTCCAGTAAACTGAGCTCATGGTAACTTTATGACGTGTGTGTGATTTAAATGCTGCAGACAGACGGTTGCTGTCAGGCCGTGTGGATATATATATATATATCAGCGGCAGCCGAACATCCATGACAGATACGGCGTTCTGTAGACCCTGGCTAGAAAAGTGTGATAGAGGTGTAAAATAAGCCCAGACTATTTTTAGTTGTTGAGAATGGAAGTCTGTGAGCAGAAATCTGCTTCTTTGACTGAAAAGGTTGAACACAAAAATAGATCTCAGATCTTCTGGTGCAATCTTTGTTTTTTGTTTTTTTTACCTTAAAAATGTTTTGATGCTTTGGAGGAAGTTTGAGGTTGATACGATTTTTAATGTTTTTGAAAGAAGTCTTGTCCTCTCAAAGTTGCATTTATTTGATCAAAAGTACAGTACAAACAGTAATATTGTAAAATAATAATAACATTTTAAATAACTGTTTTCTATTTGAATACATTTTAAAATGTCATTTATTTTTGTGATTCATCATTACTCCAGTCTTCAGTGTCAGGTGATGCTTCAGAAATCATTCTAATACTGATATTATTAAATATTATTGCCAATAATATTTATTATTATTATTAGCAATGTTGAAAACAGATGTGCTGCTTAATATTCTTTTGTAACATTATAAATGTCTTAACTTTTTTAATCAATTTAATGCAACCTTCCCAAACTTTTAAAACTTTTATTTTTGCATTTAAAGCTGAGTCTCAGCAGTAACGCTACTGGAAGTCATTTCTGGACCATTACTGCTATCGAACAGGTTTCCCAAATGCTCCCCATGTTTTCTATTGGTTGGTCAAACAGAAAACAGTCCCGCCCCCAATTCACACCACTGGGTCGAGTCAATGTCATTTTTGAAAGCACACAATACTACAACCTACAAATGACATAAAAAAAATAATAAATAAATGACAATTATGTTAACAAATAAATAAATAAAATCGCACACATCAGCTTTTAAGTCAACATGAAATCACAATTTACCCTATCTGTGTTCTTAATATACATACATACATCTTAATACACATCTTATTGTGAACGATTCATGCACGTTATTAAAAACGGTCTTTATAATCTTTCATTTAAAGTCGCTCTACCTCTAAAATGTTTTTCCATCCTGGATGACATCATCATCCCCTCTTGCCTTTCCTTTAACTCTCCCCATCAAACCACCTGACTCCATTCTCTCTTTCACAATCCAATCAATTACTGATTTAGTATGATGAAATTTCAGCCAATGTGTTTTTTCTCATCAATAATCCGTCTTCACTCTGAAATGCGCCATATTTCGAAAGCTGACTTTCGTGATGACTTTCCGACTCTTTTTCTTGAGGAGTCTTGGTTCTGCTCTATTTCACTGACCTCCCTGTTGAAAGAGTGTAGCACTTCAACAGCATCTAGATGTTCACACAATCCTGCCGCAATGGAAAGCCATTAAACAGACCATATTTTCTCAATTCTTCTCCGCTTTTAAGTCTGCGTTGCTGTTTACAGGGTTCACTACTGGGACCGCTTCCAACAAAAACCTCTTCTCACATATCTGGATTCCCCAAAGGCTGCCGCTGTGGTCTTGGCCAACGCAAATACCCAAAAACCATTGCAACAGAAACCTGGGCCTCTGAGGTCTCAACTCACGACCCACAACAATGTCATCCAATCTGGGCAAAAGGGCTTCATAACTAGGAAGGGTGTTGAAACAAAACCTCCTCAAAGGACTAAACTAAGACTCTGGCTCTGTCCCAAAATCAACATGGGCAGTGTTTGTGTAGGCTGTTCTGAAAGGTAGACAGACTTTAAGGCAGCCTCACATGCATTCTGCTTCCTGAAGGCAATCCCACAATGCATTGTAAGAAAAAATAAATAAATTCAATACTGTATATATACAAACACACACACACACACACACATAACTGATGAAAATATGTAAATAAAATAAATGAAATCATTTATTATTTTATCAATATATTACTAAATTACTAAATATATTACTAAATATTAATAATATATTATGTTATTACACACACAACACACACACATAACTGATAATAATATGTAAATACAATAAATGAAATCATTTTAAATATATATAAACATAATTATACAATTTACATAATTAAAAACGATATATTCAATCATGTAAATTATGTATAATTATATATTAAAATTATACATATTAAAAATGTATAATTCTTTAAAGTATCAATTACATATATACATGTACATATATACATACATTATTCAGATTTTCAGTTCAGACAATCTGAAACTTTTATTTATTGAACTATATATATTGTTATTAATATTAAATATTAAAATTTAATATTAATATAAAATTTATTTCATGTAAAAAATACACACAATTTTTAAATGTTTCAATTATAAATAATAATACTTAAACCAATCTACCTAATTTTTCCCAATGATTGTGTGTGCCATGTTTTTTTTATGCATATGTAGAGTTTTTCAAAACAGCCTCTAAATATTATTTGAGTTGTTGCTTTAGAAGACTGCTCCAAAGTCATCATGTTGTTATCTACTCTGAACTTTCCACAGTGACCCATGTATAACCGTATAGTGTATTCATGCAAGACTGTGCCAAAACCTGTGGCATATTATTGCAAGTGAAGCATTATCATGTAGAGCTGTCTTGCGTTATCATTATGAGTGTGTGCGCATGGCTGACACGCGACATGGTTTCCTTTTGAGGACAAGTGCCGTTAAACCACACTGACTTCCTGTGCGCTCCTCCTGAAATGAGAGTACAAGCATTCTCTTTGAAACCACAGTACAACCCCTAACTGCTCAAAACAACCCTGTTTGATTAACGCTGCTCCCTGAATCACAGAGAAATACATTCATGAGCTCTTCATACAATACATCTTTTATTTCAACATCTGTTTTTATTACCACAACAGATATTAAACCTTAATTTTTATCACTCTGAATTTATTTAAATTGAATCAGACAAGTCCCCGGGGTCCAAATCAAGTTTCAAGTATAGGCTCAAGTAAACAACTTTCGGTCTGTTTTTTTTTTTCTTATAAATGAATGGGTAACTATGGTAACTAGGATTTCTTTTCTATCAGGCTAAACCCACATCCTCAGTATATGACACATTTCTGACTATCTATCTACATAAATGATCATTTCAATTATTTAGATTTTATTAATAAACATCCTTTATTATGAAACTTCCAAATATCTACAAGTTATATGTTGTTTAACCTTTTAAAATGTGCAAATATTTGAATTATAATGCCCATGCAAATAACATGAACAAAAGAGCAATAGAGGGTGGATCTTAACAGAGTCACCATTTGAAATGTCTTAATATACGCCTAAATATTTAAATTTAAAGTCCAAACCTCGAAACAGTTGTTTGCTACTTAAGTGTGACTTTTCTCCCTTTAAAGAATTTTTTCTACTTTTTTCTTTTCAGGGTTTACAGGTGAAGACAGACTATATTCCCCTGCTGCAGTCGCTGGCTTCATTTGGATGGAGACTCACTTGTGTGCTGCCTACACCCATCATCAAGACGAACAGGTAACGTTATTGCCTTAAAGTTAAGTATTATTTAACTTCTAGGTTCATACAGTTTCTAAAACTGCAAAGGTCAATGAAAAAAAAATATTTGTGTGCAATATTAGCTGAAAAAGCTGTAAGGATGCATACTTTGAGAATGCACTGGGAATAATACACTATCCAGACCCCCTTGGCATACTGTTTTCAACATACAAGGATTTGGTACACACTAAACCAAATCTCACTATTTGTACTATATAGTACACAAGATTAAGATTAGTATGCAAATTGCAGTGCAGCCATAGACTTGTGGTATGTTCAGCTAGACTTCTAGCACTATGGGAATTCACATTCATTGACAGCGATATACAGCAAGAAAGAAACCAAAAATCATGCATTTTCAATGAAAGCTGGTGATCTGCAGGAACACGAGTGATCACTGGGCATTTAACGAAGCAGAGAAAAATTAACTATGCAAATGGCGAAGCAACGCACCAACAACCAATGGAAATGACAGCGGAGGTCATGTGATCCATCTGCTGTGAGATGCTGTAGTTGAGTGTAGACAAGATTTCACTACTCTGTCATGATCTGTCTCAAGCATAGAGGAAAGAAATGAAGCATGGAAAATATACAAGGAATTAAAGTGAGTTTGTCTCATGCATTGATAATCATGTTCCTGATATGATGTTTATGCACTGCCGTAATTTATATTCGAAACACTTTCCTCTGCAGTATGTTCATTTTAGTGCAGCCTGAAATGAAGGCGGACACAGTTTTTGTTTTATCAAGCTATATTTACTCAGTGCAACTTATAACATCCAAGTGAAAGATATAACACCAACATGTCAGAAAGAATCACTGAGTTGGAAAAAGGATCGTAAAATGACTTGATCAGGTGTACCGAATCACCTTCTCTACTGTGATCAACTGTGCTCATTTTGATTAGCTCAGCATGAAAAGAGCTTCCCAGGAGCATTTCAGTCATTGGTAGTGCAACTGAAGCAGACAATCAACTATGGGTGGCAAGAAACTGTCAAAAGATCTCCGGGATAAAGTCGTGGACAGGCATGGATACATCTCCTGACTTGTGAAAGTTGGCTCCTCAGTCTGATAACAATAAGAACGCGAGCCGCAAAGACGTTCCTGAGACACAAAGATAACGGTGTGCTAAGCAAAGTTTCTTTCAGCGCTTTGTGTTTTCTGTTCTTAAGTCACTCTCCCTCGAGGAAACTTAAAGGAAGCATATGTCTCAAGATCATTTGACTATCAGATGCGCTCTCTTCTCAGCTCGCTCGGGCTACAGCTGCGCTTACCTGCAGTCGTGAATGCAGTGATGGACAGCTGTCTTTGTTTGGATTTCATGTGATTGTGGTGGTGATGTTATGATAACTCAGTTTCACTGATTCATTTGATCAAAAGTAATCTCATTTAGTAAGATCATTTTGATCCAAGTAATTCCAAACTTCACGAGGCAGACAACGACATTCTGTGATCAAATACAATCAACTTGTTAACACGCTCCACCCAGTGCATTTAGTTATAACTGACATTTACGGCCAGCAAAGCAAAATGTAGTAAAATTCGAATAGTGCTTTTTATTTTTCGAATAATAATTACATATCAAATATTCGACTATTTGTGCAAAGCCCTACTCCATACCTGATTAAAGAGCCAGGAGGAGTCACATGCAGTCACGACTGAGCTTTGCCAAAACACACCTTGAAGATTCTGAGGCAGATGAGACTAAAATTGAATTATTTGGCCTCAACACCAAACGATATGTCTGGCAGAAATCCAATACAGCTCACCATCCAAATTACAGCATTCCTCCAGTAAAGCATGGAGGTGGTGATGTCCTGTTATGGGGTGTTTCTCTGCAGCAGGGACTGGAGCACTTGTCAGGATAAAAGGAAAAATGGATGGGGCAAAATACCATC